GGCGGGACATGCTCCCTGCTTAAGGGCTGTGACCACTAAGATATCTCCAGCCAGTCAGGGGTCCGTGGGACGTTGGCTAAATTTCCTGACCTCTGCAAGGCCTGCTGCCCTGGGCTCCCTGTTGCTTCTGGAGACTCAGCAGGAGCTCCGCTGAGGTAGATTTCTGGCACAACCTCCACCAAACCACAGGAAAATAAACAAACAAACAACAGAGCAGCCTACCTTTTAAGAAGGGCAGCAAGGCGGAAGGCAGGCGAAGGGAGGACCATGGCTCTTTCTGTCATCCTGTTTCTGATCCTCATTGGCCTCCTGCTCCTCTGGGGCCACCGCAGCTCCCGGGGCCGCCTCCCTCCCGGACCACAGCCTCTGCCCTTCCTGGGAAACATTTTGCAAATGAGCCACAAGGGCCTTCTGAAGGCCTTACAGGCGGTGAGATGGAAGAGGGGGTGGAAGGCAGGAGGTGGGGGCGCCATAAACAGCTCACAGGCAGCAAGGGAGCCGGGGCTCAGTTGCCGCTGGGGTTTCACAGCCCCTCTGGGGACTGTCTTCTTCCACTCTTCAGCCACCATCTGGTCCTGTGTGCCCTCTAGAGAAGCTTGTAAGTGTTCCCATGAGAAGGAATGGAGGCCAGGTTGACTGGAGAGAGAAATTCTGATAGACTCGAGACTCTGAGCTGCAGCCTGTGTGGGATGGGAGGGAGAGGTCCTAGAGCCGGGATGTGAGGAGTCTCTGGAATTCTTAAATCCAAAGCTGGGAGGGTTCCTGGAAAAGCCAAGAGAGGAGGATGCTTGGGGCGAGGGGGCAGGTGTGAGGCTTGGGGGGGACCACAGACTTCAAGTCTCTATTCTTCCCGAGGGGCTGCAGCGGCAGGTTAAGACACGGGGGAAGGTGTGACCAGGTGTGAGCGTGGACACCCTTCTCTAGGGTCAGAGAGTGATCTAGACTGTTCCAACAGCTGCGGGCGAGATACGGGAATGTCTTCGACATCTACATGGGTTCATGGCCGGTCGTCGTCCTGTGGGGGCACGAGGCGGTGAGGGGGGCACGAGGCGGTGAGGGAGGCCCTGGTGGATCGGGCTGAGGCTTTCTCAGGCCGAGGGCACGTCGCTGTCCTTGAGCCCATCTTCCAGGGAACTGGTGAGTGGAGTCGGGGCGAGGATTGTGGAGAGGAGGAGGGGACATTCTGTTTGTCTTCTCAACCTTTCCTTCACACCCCACCAATCAGGTGTGGTCTTTGCCAGTGGAAAGTCTTGGAAAGCTCTTCGCCGATTCTCTCTGGCAACCCTAAAGGGCTTTGGGATGGGGAAGTGGAGGATCGAGGACCGAATCAAGGAGGAGGCTCAGTGTCTGGTGGAGGAGCTGCGGAGATCCCAGGGTGAGCCCGGGGCAAGGAGTTGAAGCTGAGATGAAAACAGAGAGAGGGAGAGAGAGGATGTGACTGATGGAGAGAAATTCAGAGACAGAGAGAGAGAGAGAGAGATGCAGAGACAGACTGAGGGAGAGAGGGGAGAAGGAGACAGAGACAAAAAAGAGAAAGAGGATAAGGGAGACAGAGTGAGAGAGAGACTCGGAGGGAGAGAGAGAGAGAGGTAGAGAAAGCAGACAGAGAGAAACTGAAGACACCGCCAAAATGAACCCAGGAGCAGAACAAGCAAGGAAAAGACCTAGAAAGAAAAGGTAAAGAGAGACAGAGAGTCAAGGGAACACAGAACGTCAGTGAGGCTGAGGAGACGGGGCATCAGGACGGACGGCATGAGCAGAGAGAGAACAGAGAAGAAGGGGCTGAGTCTGAAATAAAGAGCCAAAGACCAGAGAAAGTCCGACCAAGACAGAGACCAAGGGAAACAAAAAGAGACGCAGAGGTGGAGCCTCTCAGAAAGAAAGGGCGAGATGCAAAGACTCGATGAAATTCGAGGTGGCCAAGAGAAAGACAGAGAAATCAAAGAAGCCAGGATGGCACCAGCCAGGTCAGAGCCACCCAGGAGGGCAATGCAGGGGACACCCCACCCCATGACAGACCTCTCCTCCTCAGGGACCTATCTGGATCCCCACATCCTCTTTAACTGCACCATGGCCAACATCATCTGCTCCATTGTCTTTGGAGAGCACTTTAATTACCAGGACTCCAGATTCTCACGGCTGCTACATCTACTGAATGAAATCTCCGCCATTTTCAGCTCCTCCTACAGCCAGGTGAGGCCAAAGATTCCACAGTGGGACAGGACTCAGGGTGGGTGGACTCTGGGAAGAGATAAGATGCTTTCTGTCCAGAACACCAAAACCAGAAGGGATCAAGAGTTCAGGTCTATGTGCGACACTCTAACCCCTGCACCCTCCCAGGTGAGGCCATCAGTCCGTGTTGGGGTGGAAACCAGGCCTCCGAGAAGAGTGGGCTCTGAGAGAAGAAACCTCAGCAGATGTGAGAGTGATTGGGGCAGGCTGCAGAGGTTCATGCACCACTGTGTGTGTGTGTGTGTGTGTGTGTGTGTGTCTGCTCGGCTGGGATGCATGTTCTCCAAGCCCACGGGGTGAACGATGCAGCGCACAATACCTACACCCACGGCACCAGCTCAGAGAACAGAACGGGCTCAGGGTCTTCCCTGCCGCCCTGCAGGTGTTCGAGCTCCTCTCGAACATCATGAAACACTTTCCTGGCACACACACTCGCTTGCACAGCATCATTCAAGAACTGGGAGATTTTGTCACTGAGAACACTGAGAGGCACCGGAAGACGCCGGACCCCAGTGACCCAAAGGACTTCATTGATTCCTTCCTGCTCTACATGGACAAGGCAAGGGCTGCACCGGATGGCGGGTGGGTGGGAAAGACACTGATGGCCGCACTACTGCCACTGAGTTCGTGTGTTTGGGTACGACGTACGCGTTCTTTAAATGCTGGAATACTTCCTTAAGGATTAGCAAGAAAGCCAGTGGTCCAACCCCTCTGCTGCCCGTTCCTCCCTCAGTCTCCCCAAGGCTTCCTCCTGGAATATGTCTTTAAAGAGGTAGTAACGAACTGAGTGAACCTGTGGGCCTGGAAGTTTTCCCTGAGTCTCTGCTCAGCCTTCCCCCGACTTCTGACGGCCGAGATCCGACTCTGTTCTGACTGGTCAGAGGCCCAGGTCTATTCCGATTGGTTGGAGGCTGACGTCTTTTCTGATTGGTCTGGCAAGTGCAGGTAACAGCTGTTAAGCATCTTCACTAGGACCGCTGGAGTGACAGCAGCAAGGGCCAATCAGGAGTGCAATGATATCCGAGGAGAGAGAAAAAAATAACAACAACAAATTAGCACCTGCGGGAGGGTGTAGCTCCAGCGGTAGCGCGCACGCTTAGCATACATGAGGTCCTGGGTTCAATCCCAAGTACCTCCTTGAAAAACAAAAACAAAAAACCCCCTACTTACCTCTTCCCCAGAAATTTTTTTTTAAATTAATGCCTGTTGTTCTTTGAGCACATCATACATTATATCCAAACAACCCCAGGTGACGAACTAAGGTACAGAGAGGTTATGTTCCCTGCCTAAAGACACCCAGCTAGTGCCTGAGTTTGAACCCAGGTATTTCGGCTCTCGAGCTCATCCTTTTGGTGCGTTGTCGGCCTTGATTAGAGAAAAAAGGATAAGGAAAATGAATAACGGGCACAGAGTAACATGGTGTTCTCAGGGAAATAAGAAGACCCAGATACTGGAAATCTTTGCAAGGGGAGATGTTAAGAAATGTCCGTTGCCCCATTCAGGAGCGCGTCAATCCTAACAGTGCGTTCCACCAGAAAAATCTCATCAGCACGGTGCTCTCACTGTTCTTTGCTGGCACAGAGACCTCTGGCACCACGCTCAGCTTTGGTTTTCTACTCCTTCTTAAGAACCCAGATGTCTTAGGTGAGCTGGGCTTATGGTAGGTGGGGTCCTGAGAAGGCTGAAGGTCTTTGAGGCCATGCTAGAAGGTGCTTGCTTGATGGGTGAAGACATACCCTTCCGTCCTGAGCCATCTGAAAAACAAAAAAATCCACCCCTACAGGGATTTGTCACTTATAACAAAGGTTTGCTGCGGACAAAGTTCTTTGAAGTTGACGAAGCACTTTTGGGTTTGCAAAATATTATTCATTCAGTGAAATACCCTCTGGTTTAGAAGATATTTGTACTTATGAAGTGCCTTGTAATTTGCAAAATTCTTGGGCGATTGTTTAAGGTGATTTATGCTTTACAAAGAATGTTCCAGTCATAAAGTATTAGTATTCACAGCGCATTTTGCCATCTACAAAAGTACATGGCTCTTGACACAATTCTCTGGGGTTGTCACTTTGAGGATGACAAAGAACTTGACTTTGTGAAGTATATTGCTGGTATACAACTAATTAAAAATCCCTCCATTGGTTCTCATGCAGATGGTCTGCAGGTCAGACTTGGAGAAACTCTCATCTGATCAAACTCTATTATTTTATAGGAATGAATTTAAGGCCAGAGTGGAGATTGACTTATCTAAGATCACATAGCAAGTCAGTGGGACAAAAGGATATGACACCAGTTTCAGCCACTACTCATTTTTAGTTGGAAAAAAAAACATCCTTAAATGTTAAATAAATTTCCACCCACACATCTTTACCCAAGTCCCTCCCATCATAAGTAGACTGGAACATCAGACAAGACTTCCCCACAAAGAACCCATCTACTTTCTTTCTCAGTGCTTTTATTGAGAAGGAACTATAACCCAACATCTTAGTAAAGAGTTTACAAGACCCTCCCATCAGGCTGTAGGTCATTTTTTAGGGCACTTGGTTGAGCCCACTGTTTATGGGCATTTATTGATGTCTCCCCCTCCCACCTTAACCATTCTTAGAGAAAATCCAGGCAGAAATTGACAGAGTGATTGGTGAACACCGTCTCCCAGCCCCTGAAGATCGGGCCAAAATGCCTTATACAAATGCTGTCATCCACGAGGTTCAGAGATTCAATGACATCTTCCCCTTCGGTATCCCCCACTCAGTCATCAAGGACACTCACTTCCGGGGATATTATCTCCCTAAGGTGAGACCATCAGGGATACGGAATCTTGGCTGGAAGGTGCTGTCTGCCCGTAGTCTTATGTTTCATGTCTCTGGTTGGTGGAATTTCCAGATTATCATGGGAGGGAGGAAGATGTTAGAAATATAGACAAGTCCTTTCACTTCTGTTCTGTCTTATTAATTTTTACCTTTATAAGATGTTAGATTTGCTGAAGAATGTACCATATACTTATTGAAACTTGTACAATGGTTTTTAAATAGTTTTTTAAAAGCTATTTTATCATCTCTCCTACCTTTCTTCTTCATGAGAAGACATTCACAATTCGATGTTTCTTCTTCCACATTTACCTTAAGTTTATATGAACATATACAACAAATATATCCATATACACAAAGATTGGTTCATACTGTGTCTATCACTTTGCAGCTTGTATATTCAGTGTGCATGTCACCTTCCCTCCTATTTTTATGTCCAATTTGCAACTTGTTTTATTTTGTGTGTAAGTGTGGCTTTCCTTTTTTTTTAATGTAACAGTATGCTGTAGATATATTTGCAGATCAACGTTTATGATACTAACTCATTTTTTCCCATGATTGCAAATGTTCCCAGTATAGATGTACCTAGGGATGATATTTACAATATCTAATCACCCAAGAGACAGCGTCCATCAGATTATATTCTGGCCCTAGTCCTGGAGTCAAGTCCTTGGAGGCTTCTATTGGGCCAGTTGTGAACTATTTAGCTGATGAATCACAAAGAAGTCCATAGTATCTTGGGGAAGATGGTGAGGATCTCTAGAAGGTGGGACGTAACTATTGTAAATGAGGCAGAATTATTTCAACATTTCTGCCTCTAACTGTAGAGCCATACAGTGGGTGAGGCTTATTATACAGCTGTGGATGTGAATTCACTATAATGGATTCAGCTACTTCGTGTGGGTGGCCATTTGAGTCCCCTTGTCTTTGGTGTCCTCGTAGGACACTAATGTATACTCCATCCTGAGCTCTGCCCTCAAAGACCCATGCCACTTTGAGAAGCCAGATTCTTTCTACCCTGGCCACTTCCTGGATGCAGAAGGCAACTTCAGGAAGCAGGAAGTCTTCATCCCATTCTCCATGGGTAAGCTATGCCCTTCCTCTTCCTATGGGAACACCTGCTCACCCCTCCCTGTGTGTGACTCCCTTTGTCCAACCCCAAACACTGCATGAATATTTCAGAAAGAGAAGAGGATTCTGAAGGAAAGAGAAAGCAAAACATCTACAGAGACAAAGACGATGTGAGGTGGAAGGAAAAGGAGGAGGTATGATGGGGAAGGAAGATGGAGACTAACTGAAAGAGAGAAAGAGAGGGACAAAGATGCACAATGCAGGCACTTGCAAACACAGAACAGACCAAAATTAGATCCATTATCAAGCATCTGCTATGTGCCAAGAATGGGGAAAGGCATTTTCAGTTTTTCTTTCAAAATTAAAGTAACTATTTTTTCAATTTTTAATACAAACAAGGAAGTAAAAGTTGAAAGTGAAAAATCATCAGTAATTTACCACCAAAACCAGACCTATTAATATTCCAAAGATGTCCATCAGAATTTTAATTAATATTTTCACAGACACAAAGGTAGATGATGGATAGATAGATAGATATGTAGGTAGTGGAAAGAACAGTAAGAAAGAAGAAAGGGATCAGAAGGCAGGAGAAAGAAGGAGAACTCATTGATTTATTTCTTGTTAGCCAGTTTCATTGTTAAAATCAAGTCCTGGACTAGAGTGACATCCAGGAGGCACTTAGGACCCCCAAATTTAAGGAATATTCGCTTCCAGGGCTGTGCAAGCACCCTGATTCAATCACTTTTCAAACAATTCAACTTTCAGCCACTGACTTGAAATTTATGTCTCAATTTTTTAATCTATTTAGGTCTATTTCTGTTTTTAAAAAAATATCCACACTGATTCACTGGTCTGTCTTTTCTAGCTATATAATACTGTTTGTTTGAATTATTATATATGCACATATGTTTTAATATTTTACAGGTGCTAATCACTCTCCATTACTCTTCTTTCTTTCATGTACACACACATTTTATTTTTCTTCCAGGTATACTTTAGAATTATTTTGTCAAAATCTCAAAAAAACTGTATCACTGGGATTTTATTAAGATTAACCTGAATTTGTAGTTTGATTCCGGTAGCTCTGACAAATCTGCATGTTTGATATATCCCAGACAAAACAAGAATGTGTCCATTTAGTTCTTCTTGTATCACTTGGTGACATCCTAAACTTTAATTTTTTTAACTAGGTTTTGCATATTTCTTACTAAATTTATTCCTAAGAAATATGGGAGGAGTTGCTGCTATTATTCATGGAATCTCTTTGTCAACTCAGGCCACCATAATGGAATACCATAGAGTGAGCGGCTTGAACAACAGAAATTAATTTTCTCTCAGTTCTGGAGGCTGGAAGTCCGATATCAGGGTGGCAGCATGGTCGGGTTCTGGTGAGGTCTCTCTTCCTGCATTGCAGACGGCCGCCTTCTTGCTGTGTCCTCATATGAGAGTGAGGTTCTGGTATCTCTTCTTCTTCTCCTTCTTTTTTTTTTTTAATTGAAGTATAGTTGGTTTACAATGCTGTGTTAATTTCTGGTGTACAGCACAGTGATTCAACTATACATAAATATACATATATATTCCTTTTCATATTATTTTTCATTAGAGGTTATTACAGGGTATTCAATATAGTTCCCTGCGCTGTACAGTAGGGCCTTGCTGTTTATCTCACTTCCTGTTCTTATAAGAGCTCTATCTCTTCATGGACGCCCCACCCTAACAAGCTCATCTAAACCCCATGACCTTCCAAGGCCCCTTCTCCAAATACTATCACATTAGGGGTTAGGGCTGCAACACACACATTTTGGGAGGACACAATTCAGTCCACAATACTCTTCTAACATAGTATTTTACATTGTTTAATAGTATATCAGAAATCCACTGGGCTTTTGGGGTGTCTATTTCTGTCATAACTGAGCAATTTCCTTATGTTTCTTTTGTAACTAACAGTTTTTCGTTTATTCTCTTGGGTTCTCCAAGTAATTGGTGTTAGCATCTGCAAATGATGATATTTTGATTCAATTGTTTCTCAGCTTTCTTAGGTTAAAGTCACATGGCATGTTTTCCCTAATGTCATGGATGAGCACTTTCTGGAATCACGTGAAGTAGCAGTAGTCATAGTGAACAATCTTGTCTAACTCCTAACTTTAAGGGGAATATGTTTATTTTCTCTATTAAGCTTGTTGCTGGCTGTCACCTATTCCAGGTATTTAATGGTTTATTCTTCCATATACTTCTCTCCATTTTAAATCAAATTAAGGAACTATCCCCTCCACCCCATTTTACAACAGGATTTAATCAGGATTAGGTGTTGATATTCTCAAATATCTTTTCAGCTCCCATCACGATGATCAAATTGTTTTTCTCCTTTGAACTCTTGAAGAAACGGTGGATGTCTTAGTGTTGAATCATCACTCTCTTGCAGAAGCGGAACACGGGAGGCCCAGGGGGCAGAGGGCCTTCCCAAGTTCCCTTAGGAAGTCATGATCTGTTTGTCAGGACAGGCTGGGCTGCGACAGACAACCTGAATACCTCAGCAATAAAGCCAGAAAGTTATTTTTGTGCTCAAGCAACATGCCCATTCCAGACTATCACAGGCATGTAGAGATAGGGGCAAATGGGGACTCTATCCTGACACTTGAGGAAACAGGGAAAACAGCACGGCATGTGTCAATTTAGCCCTCATCTCATTGGACAAAGCAAGTCCCATCCAAGTTCAATATGGTAGACATGTTTATGCACCCAGAGATGCACTGTGAATACTTATGCACCGTAATGAACTTTACCACATATGCAGGGCAGCTCTTTGGCTTCCTTTCTTTCCCAATGGGATTGCAGGTCAACTGGAGGAAGAGCAAACTGTGACCCAGCCCAGGGACACATTGGTCCCATCCTTGGATATTCCAGTGGACATGGCCTGTGCTGAAATCAGTAGTGGATACTCAGGGCTCCATGTAGATGGGACTTTTGTGATGGTTAACCCCATCTTGCAGGAAGATATGAATAGAGCATATGAGAGTCAGAAAAATGAAAGCAGGGGTGGGTGGGGTGCTTTTAAAATCTTTATCAAGCATGACGTGGCCATGAGCAGTCAGAACTTCCACTGGTTGTGGTGTGGAAATTGGGTCTCGGAGGCTTACTCTGTTCACTGCTGATTGTGGGCAGGACTGAGGAGGGGCTGGGAAGAGGGCCAAGGGGACCAGAAGAGTGAGGCACTCAGGAGCTTAGAGCAAAGGCTGTGCACCAGCTGATCAGAAGTAGGTCAGTATTCTAACAGCCAATCCAGATGCAAATGCCCAACTACTTATTGTGTATCAGTCCACGATGCGCCAGAGGTTTCAGCTCCCCTATACCTTTCTCTCATGGCTCCTCTAGTGGGACAGGCTACCAGGGGTTTTTCCCAGTTCACATTTTCTCATAAATTGGCTTAGTTGAGAGTATACTTAACCAGAGAAACAGAGAATGAGAGAGTGCGAGACAGGCAAGGACCAGGTACCAGGAGGAGCAGAGGAGGGCACCATATGGGGTAGATTGAGAAGAGGTAGGACTGAGATAGAAACGCACTCCCCTCCAACACACAAGCAGACAGGCACACTGATGGTG